AATAAATCAAAAAAAGAGTGAAATTATTCTAGATCAAATGATACAGAGGGATGAAAAAAACCTAAATATTTTAGGAAGATAGGTGGGTCTGTCATGTTGACCATAGTTTTCTTGAACTGGATCCAGCTAGGACAGTTCTAGGAGTGCGCAATATCACAAAGGGGTTGGAGAGTGAAAGTGCACATGGATGAGAGTCAACAGGCCAAGCAAGACAAGCATGTTTCCTGTTTATGCTCTATTCATTTTGCATCATAAACTGTCCTCAAACAGATTGCAATCTTTAAAAATGAATTGGCTACCTGAGATGGCTTGCTAAGAAATTTGAGCAGCTAAACCAAACCAATATTCAAAATAAGTCACTGAAATGAAATGACACTCAAAGAAATCTGTAACTCAGATTGTGCATTGCTGTTCCTTGATCCAGTAAGTGCAATGTGTGTCATACCAGAGAAGCGGTGTCTGAACCCATTTTAACAGATGCAACCTTTTTTTTTTTTTTTAATGCTTCTTAAAGGGTTCCTAAATGCACTTTTTTGATCTTTTTTTCTTCTGCTAGTAATTAGGCTAACTGTAGCATATTTACAGTTGAGTGCCACAAATGAGCTCCAGAGTTAAAACTGCCCCTAAACACAGGCATGGGCTCAGTGCCACATGGGAAAGGAGAAAGCTACAAGCTCTGTTGGTACTCAGCATCTTTCTAGGGAATTGCCAAGCCCGGTGTAGTGTGTGTCAATACAATATGCAGTCAAGCTTGCTTAAATGTTCACTCAAACATGTGCCTTCCCTCAGCTCTGCTGCAGTACAAAGAGAAGGAGTAGCCAAATCCAAGCAGGGGTTACTCTGTGAGGACTTCAGGCATGAAAGGTTAGAAAACCTGCACAAGGAAAAGAGCGATGCTTAAGGGTGAAACACAGAAGTGCAAATTAAGCTAAGAGATACAAGTCTCAAACTGGGGTTTAATGGCAAAGTAACTGTGTGATAAATTTGTCCAGAGAAGCAGCTGGAGATATCAGGCACCCTACAGAAGAAAAAAAAAAAAAAAATAGTTAAGGAAAATAAGATCAGGCTTTACAGATACTGGTAAAACCAAAGTACAGTGTAGAGACTTCGTCAAACCTCTGCCTGAGTATGCTCTTTCAAAGATATTGAATCGTCTTTTTAACCCATCCCAAAGGCTATGTGTGTTTTACTTGGACTTCTGGTCCATTAGACTTCTATGGTAAGACCTTGACTCTGTGGAGGACTTGGCTAATACTCAGCCTTACCGAGACAAGCAGAGCTGAGCAAGTCAATGATGGAGAATTAGGCATGTAACAATGCTTAACTTCCCTACAGTGAGTATAGAGCAATTATTTCTGTTAATTAGATCCCCCCTCCATGCATAATCCATCCTTACTTGCATGGGAAGGCGCTGAAGGGTACGAGCTGACAGACATCATCAGGTGAGCGTGCCTGGGTAGCTGCCTTGCAGGCCACAGGGCAAATCACTTGTGAACATGTCACTGAACTCCCACAGAAATGAAAGGCACAAGTGCATTGCTGAGTGCTGAGCTTCAGCCATACTCATATCTAACCTCACAGAAGTGTTTGAGGCACAAGTAAAAGTCCACATCTTAACAAAGTGCTCTTCTAACAGAACAGGGAATGCTGTGTTAGCACCTCTGGGCATATCTGGTATACCCTTCTCAAAGAAAAACACTGCCAGTGGGTGGTCTTGGGCATGGCTTTCCTTGGGCCTGACTTGCTTGAAGCTTTTATATTTATTTGTAATGTTCTTTACGTATTTATTCAAAAGTCTAATGACATTTAAATGAAAAATCCCATGCTGATTAAAAGCAGGTAGGGGAATAGCTGGGAAAATGAAATGCACCATACATAATCAGATCCAGATGACATGCAGCCCAGAGTTTTGAGGCAATGAAGCTAATGAATATAGCGAACCTCTGGTAATTAGATTTGAACAGCCACGGCAAGGGAGAGGAGGGGGAGAAATGCAAACATGGTATAGATCTTAAAAGGGGGAATAAACAAGAAGAGAAGAGAGTTATCCTAACACAGGCTTATAAAAAGCCCACATCACTGACTACAACCCCCAGAGGGGAGGACTGCATAGTGTTTCTTCAGCTTTTCCTTTCAAATTTTCCATCATCTTTTCACTCCCCATTTCCACAGTTGTGTAGCTGTGTTCTTTTTTTTTCCTCTCCTCTCCTTCCTCTACATCCCACATCCTGATTTTGCCCACATCCCCCATTTTACTCCCTAGGAGATCTTTAGGGTTTTTCAGGGTGAAGAGCCCTTCCCAGACCATTCTTGATTCCCTTCCAAGGTACAATCTCTCCATCCTGCTCTGTGTAGTTACCTAAACAGTAGAGCTCCGTATTGTCCCTTTCCTTCTCAACAGCACTAAGTTAAACCTTTAGTTCAGGCCAAGTACTTAAAAATGTGCATTTCTTTAACATGTGACTGGTCCCGCTAAAATCAGCGCCGTAACTGGGGTATTAAGAACCACAGGGTTTTTTGGCCTGCCCAGAACAGAAGCATTAAAAGCATTAATTCCTTTTCACTTCCAAACTGACTTTGCTGTCCCAAATGCTGCTGTTGTGTTCAGGCTTGTGTCCTTACCTGCACACAGACCCAGGCTCCTCTCACACCTGCCCAGCAGTCACTCCTCTGTGGCCAGGCTGACCTGCCACCTTCACGCCTCCCTGTGCAGGAGAGGGGAAGCCTGGCTTTGATCCATGCCCAGCACTGCCCCTGCCCAGCACTGGCTGCCCCAGGGCTGGTGGGCTGAGGGCATTTGGAGCTCCTGGCTGGTCTCCACCCCGAGCTGATTGTGTAAAAGCCCAGTTGCCTGAGTGGACTGACAATAGCCCCCTTCAAGGTGCTACACACCCCGAGGTTAGGAGCCATGACCCGGCTGCGTGACCAAGTGAACCCACTCCTCTCTGTCCTGAGGCACCCACACAAGGGGTGTGTGAGGGACCAAGTAAGTTACAGTTTGCTGAGGGATTTGGTGGCTTTGGGAGGTTGATATGCTGCACACTAAACCTCACTGAGCAAGTCTTTGGATGAATTCTTCACATTGCTTTAGAATTAGAGTGGAAACCCACTGAAATCTTGTTGCTTACATCCAAGCAACCCCCCAGATATTGTCAGCATCCTGTATGTGAAGGCATTGAAGGAACAGGATGGAACTTTTTTCTTTTTTTTTTTTTTTTTTGTGGATAACGAATTTTTTTCAATTAGTCCAAGAATCAGCATCACTATTTGAATTGTAGATTTTTAAATTGAGTCCAAAGTCTCTAACGTCTTTGCAATGGAGTTTATATATAGAGTGTTAACAGAGCTGTCTGTTAAGCAGCAATTCCACTAGAGAAGGAGAAAGTGAGTCTGGATGGTGATAAAAGCAGTACTTCTATTTTTCTCTTGATGTCTTCACTAAAGAGTGAAAGTCTCTCTTGGGATCTGTTATTTGGATTATAATCTGAATAACTTTTTGTGAGAGTACTGACTTTGTGGATTAGAAAGATTGGACTAGCACTGAAAAAATAAATTCCCTGTGGGACACTTAACACAACCCCTTTTTCTTCCCAAAGCTAGAAAAATCCTTTAAGCTATTTTAGTAACACTAGGAACCTAGAGCAGACTTTGCAGAGATTTTGAAGATGAGAGCAACATCTCCTTGCAGCATAGTTCACTACTGATGGGTCAAAATGATTTGCTGGATCAGGAATATTTCCCTCCCTGGGAGGTGTTGATTGAGGCTATAAGCTTCTCATTTGTGTATTGCACAGTGCAGCTCAGTTAGTTGGGTTTGATGCAATCAGACGTTAAAAGGCAATTTGGAGAAAATTGCATGTAGCTTCAGATGTCATTCAAAACGGATGGGGTAGTGGCATCTGTTTCTCATAACCTTTGAAACATTACATATGTTTCACAATGATATTATTTCTTTAGAAGTAAACCATATAATTTCTGGATTTTTAAAAATTAAACACGGTACCTTTGATTTAGGATATTATTATTCTAAAAAAGACAATGCTAACCTTTTTCGACCTTTCTCTGCAGTGTAAGTTATTTTGGCAAGGTCATGTTTGGTGTCTTTGTCTGATCCAGGAGTGTACTTCATGAATTACCTTATAATTTTAAGTGGTGACTAGGTCTTTGTGTTCTAGATAATGTCACAAAAACAATTTACTCAAGGCATTTGACAAAGAAAGGAAAAATTGCCCACTTTCCCCATCAAACGTAATTATCATTCACCACATCTAAATGAAGCGCTTGTTGCATCTTTACTGGAGAACCGAAAGCCACTATGAATAGGTTTTTTTCTCCATTAACTGAAAACTGGTGCAGGGAAGACAGGGGAAAAGGGCTTTCTAATTAACCCTCTTAGTGCTCTGACAGAAAACTGATAGATATGAAACTTCTGCTGTGGTGGAATCTTCTCTTTTTTTTAATGAAAAATGATGGAAAGCCACGAGGCAAGCCTCTACCTCCTCTCACTGTAACACAGGGTCTGGCAGTGGGCTGGAACGATGACACGAGGGCAGGAGAACAGGCAAACCCAGAGCAGGGCTCTGCAAGTTTATTCAATTAGGTACTAAGTGTTTGGAACAAGGTTTCATCTGCCAACAGCTGTATGCAATCATTTGTGGTTTTGAGGCCAGGGTAATTGGCATGTTATGAGCTTTTGCCTCAGCTTTTGGCATCTGGCTGAAAACCACATGGAAAGAGGGAAGGCTCTGCGTGGGGCTCAGCCAGAAACCCTCCCCAGGGAGTATAATCTCAGGAACCATCAGTGACCAAACCTCAGCCAGGTCTCATGGACATGGGGCAGATGCTGCCCAGCAGCACTCCTAGCAAGTAGTGAGTGGGAGAGAGTCCTTGCTAGGCTGTATGCTGCCAGAGCCAGGATTGCTTCACGTGCATGGATTTATGCTTTTAACTAGAGATGACTGTTTTCAGGAAATTGACTGAAGTTGATAGTTAATTGGAAGCAGTGAGGGAATTTTATTTTCCATTGTGTACTTCAGTCCTCAGATCCAGCACTCAGCATTAAGTTGTTACAGCTCAGAAGCTGCCACCAACCTTTATCCAATGATGACATGACATCCCTGGTCTCCCTCTCAACAGTCCTGGATGCTCTGTCTTCCATGCCCTGTTTCCTTTCAGGGTATACTAGGACCTGCAACACCCTGCTCCTTGTATCCTCTTCCCTAATTCTGCTTTTTTTTTGCTTTTTTTTCCTTTCACCAGTGCATCACCTCTTTGTTACAGGATGCTCTTTGGGGAAACAATAACTATTTGCTACACATTTGTGCAGTGCCCAGCACAGCAGACCCTGCTTAGGTCAACACTTTTTGGCACCATTGCACCAAATATTAAATGCTAATAGCAGGGTGGTGGAGCCATGCTTCACCATGAGTATCACTAGATAGAATTGCACCACCCCTTTTATTATCACCTATGACTTCCTGTTAAAGGGGGGTCAGACTTGAATGCCTCCTCTGGCTCACACTGTTTTAACCAACATCATGTCTTGGTTTCTTAATTGTTTACACCTTCAAGAAAAATCCTGTATCCTGTAGAGAAGCTCCCAACTGATGTCTAATCATTAACTCCAGAACAGGCAAGCCAAAATATGCAGTACTACTTTGTATTAGTGCTCTTTAGTTATAATAATGGGTTGCTTTTCCCCTATGGTGCTCGGAGCTCTTTACAAAGAAAGAGGAGCATTGTTATTGCCATTTAAGGGGTGAAAAAGCTGAAATGCAATGAAGAAACATGCCTTGCCCACAGTTAGACAGCAAAGGAGAGTCCAACTCTTCATACCTACCTTGTCATCGGGACTCCATACAAACCTACCAAAAGCTGTGTCATATCCACGCCCCTAAGTGAGAACTCAGTGCAGCTACTTAATAATAACAAAAAGTATAATTTATCCCATATATGTCCAGGAATCAATGCCAGTTGTTCTGACAGGCACTCACATGCTGTTTGGTTGGGCTGAGTCTGTTCTTAACAGATGCTCAGCTGCTTGTTAATGGGATGGAGAGATGAAAATGAAAGTCTACAGGCTACACAATAAGCAAACTTTGTCCCTTGATCACAGCACAGTGCCTCCTGGTCCTGACAGTTGCAGTTTTATAGTGGGTCAGGTGGACAACAGATGTTCACCTGCTTAACTACAGTAGCAGTAAAACTCTTAAAAACAACCTCTGAACTAAAAGACCCATCTACTCTTGCTGCTTTGCAATCAGGAAGGAGGCCTTTAGATGTATGTCTATATGTCCCATCTAATTTCCTCTCAGAAAGCTCAAGCAGTGGAGCCTCCACTCTTTCCTTGGCCATATAATTTCTTTCTATGGTAAAACCCTGCTCCTCTGATGTGACTTTCCTCCTCCATCCCACATGGCTAATTTAACTTTTCCCTCCCTCATCGGCATGGATGCAATATGCACGCTGAAATGTCATCACTCCCCCTCACAATCACACTGTTGTGCTTGCTCATCTGGGGTCCATCTGTGGGGTGGTGGTAATGGAGTCCTATTATGCTGGAGAGTAGGAGGATGGAGGGATGAAAAGCATGGGAATCCTGACTATTGCCCTGAGCTGGGTGATCACACCCTGTTTATTGGGTTCAGTGCTGAGGCAGCTGTGTGAAGCTCCATACCCTGTGATACACACAATGACATCTCCCAGGATGGCCTCACCCTCTTGTCCAGTGGAAATGCCATGCACCTCGTGCTCACCTTTGCTGCTGTTTGCTGACTCTGCTTTGGTGACTCTGGGGAACACCTAAGGGACTTTGGAATTTAGCATTCAGAGTGCCTGCGCCATGTTCAGAATAAGCAGGAGGAAACAAACCTCTGTGTTGATCCACATCAATTTTCTGTGTTTAGAAACTCAGGGAAGGATTCTAAGCTAATAGGACCAATGATTTTCTCCAGAGCTTTTATACTGTGTATGGGTCTGCTGCTGCTGTAACACTATGGAGCTGATACCTGCAAAAACATAAGTTTTAGTGAATCTGTATGAACAGAGACTGGCTTTGATGCTCAAAGCTAATGTTAGGCAGCACATAGACATATGTGGGATGTGAGCTGGGATTTTGTGGTCACACTTTCTTCTGAAGCATCTGTCTGAAGCCCATTGAGAGGCTGACTACTATGAGTCTGAGGGACAAGTGCAGTGATGCTTGCAAATCTTCCCACAGCAGAGTTGTTGGCTATGGATGAGGCAGAAAGGGCCACATGAGATAAAGATACTGCTGTCCATAGTAAGACAAAACCCTTGTCTAGGAAAAAAAGAAAAATTAAGAAGGAGTTTATCTTCTGTGTACTTCATATGTAGCCTGAATTTTCTGCTGCTTGGAGGAGAATGCCAAATACAGTTCATATCCTCCAAAGGAAGAAATTTGGTTTAAAAATTAAAAGAGCTAGACATCTGTCCCTTCTGAAATTAATATGAGTTATGCATCCCAATCTCTTTCGCATTTTTAGACTTTCATCCCACAGAAAGCACTCAGCTATGCTTTTATAACCGGGTTCCCCTTCTTTGCAAAATCAACCCCTCCTTTTCATGTTCATCATCAACGGGGATCAAAACTAGCCTGCAACCCAGAAAAGGCAGGCCTAGTGTTTGCCTTCTACATCTTTGTTTAGCCCTCTGACAGGGCTCATGAGAAAGTGCAGGTTGCGGCCTTGGCTCAGGGCTGAATGAATAAAGGTCACCATGCTCCAGGATGGAGGTTCATTGTCACACAGTGAGACAGAGACAGCCAGCTAAGCTGGAGGTGGTTTGAAGAAAAGATGCAGCACTCAGCTGTGCTCACCTCCACATACACTAATCTCACAGGGTTGCTCCTGCCTGCAGAAAGCATTTGACTCATGTTGAATGGTGGAGCAGGGTCTTACCCATGGTGCTCCTGTGGAAATGCCTTTTCTTACATGCTGGGAAGAAGAAGAAGGACAAGCTGTTAGGGCTGAGGTCTTCAATAAACCACTTGATGATTTCCTTGAGGATGAGCTGGTTAAGCAGGAAAAGCAGATGAAAGAAATAGTAATCAAGTGCTACAGTGTTGGCAAAATAATCTAAGAATTGGTAATTCAGTAGGTTCTTTGTGAATTCCTTTGCTTTGGTTTTACTCATGTGCCATTATTATTCTCCTATCACTAACCAACCTCTGGAAAAACATGATTAAAACAAGAAACAAACCCCACCAGACAACCGGGAGGAACTGCTAGAAATAGGATCCCAGCTGCCATCTACTTCCTTATAAAACCAATAAAATCTGGTCTTTCTCTATCCTGCATTGAAGAGCTTGTGGAGTTGAGGACGTTTTTCGTGCCTAAAAAGACATTCTGTGTTTGAACTGCATAGCCCCTTCTCCTCATCCCTCCAAATCTTTCTTTCTTTGTCTTGCTTTATTTTAACTGCTTGCAGACAAGAATGTTGGCAGCAAGCATATGCAGTCCTGAATGGATTGAATATGAGTATCAAGAATGAAAATACAGAGATATTGCAGACCTCAAGTCCTCTAAGATAGCAGGTTGAGTTATGGAGACATTCAGTCTTTGGGCTATAATAGTAAATTGATAAATCTTTATACTGGATTATGTGCTGGCACTAGAACTGTTGTTAAAACCTAGTATACAGGAGTTCTCAAATTATTCCCTGATGAAAAGATTGGGTACCAGGATTTTGACTAAATTCAGTACTTCTTTTGCCCAACATTTAGTTTAAATCATGAAACTCACTGTCAAACAAAACTGCAAAGGCAAATGCTTAAGCAGGCTCAGCAAAACGTACCAACTGAATTTGTGAAAGACTGTCTCATCAGCAGTGGTTAAAGAGGACAGGACAGATGGTCAAAAGGAAGAATCAGTACACAGAGAGCCCTGGGCAGGCTGGAAGGTTGGGCCAGCTAGGGAAGCATGAAGAATTGGACTCTCTTTTTCTGGAAATACTCATGACTAGATTTGACAGGGCCCTGGATAGCTCAACCTAGGCTCTGCTTTACGTAGACCAGATGGTCCCCAAGAGCAGGGACCCAGCCCAGACTTTCTGAGATTCAATAGATTCAAGCCTGAAACCAAATAGTCAGGCCAAGGGGAAGATTCTTCTTCATTTGTCTTTGCTTTTATTTTTCTAGGTACCTGCTGTTGCCTGTTGGTAAAAATGGCTTGCTGAGCTGGGTGAATCCAACCTCAAACCACATCAGTTTTTGTATTCTTATGATTCCTGTGCTGTAAAACCCCATTTTCCTCTCCAAGGAGGACGCTGTAAATGCAAAGTTCACATTGGAGATAGAGCAACCTTTTGACACAGCCATGCAGTCACTGGGATAAGCTATATCATTCAGATGAGTTGTTAGCTGTTGCCTAGAAAAAAACCAAAACCAAAATCAACCCAAAAAAACCCAAAACCCAAAAAAACAGAAGGCAGCTGGGAATAAGAAGGAAAGAATGGATGCATGTCCGGAACATGACTGCTTCCATCAATAAAGCTGTCTCTTGTACGTGTGCATGTCTGTATAGCACACACTGCTGAGCTAGAAAGGAGTGCTTAGCAGACAGCGTTGCTTGCAAACCCCCTGCCCCCAAGGACCATCTCCAATCAATCTAAAATGATGGTGGGTTCACTGGAGTGCCTTGTGACTTTACATCCACCTGAGACAGCAGCTCTGTCTCTAATGGCAATAGCAGTGTGTGGGCAGGGAAAGGAGGCAGCAGAGCGGAAGGATGGCTGGTACAAGTGAACCAGCACTGCATGGATGGAGCCATCCATGGTGACCCTCAGGCCACAGCAAGATGGGCCCTCAGTAGCAAGCACCACCCTCGCTTTTTTGGTGCCAAGGGATCCACACTGAGGTCTGTGAGCTGCAGGTGAAGCCTTCTCTGACATTGCCTTTATTAATAATACAGCTGCTGCAGTGGGCAGCAGCCTGGGCTCTCAGTCTGCTTCATGTTGAGGCCTTTGTCCTCATCTGGGCAACGTTTGAAACAGGGATGTGCTGAGTTTGTTTCTGGGTCAAACAAAAGCCTCCTCCAGTGAATGCCACTGTGGCTCAGAGGCTTTCATCTCAGGACCTACCTGTTCTGTCAGCTCTGCTTGCAAAGCCTGCGTAACTCTTTGTGTTTGTTCTCAAAACAAGCATTCAAATACACTCTTTTGTATTTTCCTTTCCACAAGAAAACCAGAGCAGAAGAAACCTGTGTGAACAAGCCAGGGGGAGCACCCTTAGCTGTGCGAAGCCAACAACAACAGGGGCACTGCTTTCAGGTTCCTCACAGCTCTGCAGCAAAGGAGAGCAAAACAGCAAACCCAATGTGGAAAGAGCCACTGGTGGGGTTTGCTTCATGAAAAAATGCTGCCTTTGTGTCCTGTAGATGCTGGTCACGGCAAAGCCAGGCAGGGACCCATCTGTGGTCTTTCCCCCAGTCTCTCATGGCCTCACTACTCTAAGGCTGACACAGTTCCTCTACGAAGGGCAGAAGTAAGCACTGTGCACAGGTGGCTTCTTTATGAAGCTAAGGGTGGAAGGATGTCTGGGTGTCTGAGAACCTTCCTTGAGTCTCTTGGGTTGCATGGAGCCGGTCTAGGTGCTGAGATAGCCCCAAACACATGGGAAAAAACTTCCTGCCACAGCAGTCCAATGGGCTTCCCATGGACTCTGTGTGAGCCCCTGCTCTAAGCAAGACAGCTTGAACTCATCAGGGTCATCAGTCCTAACCCTGAGTGCACAGCCACTAGGAGATGTAACTTACGGTCTGCCTTGTGTTTTCTGTCTGTATTCTCTGTTTGTCCTCTAACCTCTTTGAACTGTCTTTTAAAATGTCTAAACAGTGCTCAAAGTGGGACTCCCACAGAATTACCATCCAAATTATAATTATACCCAGTCACAATATTAAAGTTGAAGGGCCAAGTACTCGAAAGTTAGGAAACAATAGAATTTCAATTGCCTCTGTACTTTAATGCAAATCCTTCCCTCAGCAGCTGCTGTGGTTTCTGTGCAGTCTGTTTGCTGCAAGTGGGAGAACCCAGGGCACGTTTTCTGGGTTCCTCAGTAACTCCCTGCTGCTCCCACGAGGCATTGAACACAGGGCTGGCTGAACATGTTGGAGGTATCTGCCTTTGTCCCTCTGTGTACCCTGCAGCTGTGGGAACACAATGGTGGATGGCCAGTGGGGTGGAGGAGCTGGTAGATGAAAAATATCTCAGCAGGAGCTAATGGTTTTTTCTAGCCCAGATCACTCCTGTGCAAAGCCTGGAGGGGTGGAGTGAGGATGAGAGTGAAGACTAGGAAAGAAGGACTTTCGCTGGCTTTGCTCCAAACAAAGCTTTCTTCCAGCTTGGGCAAACAGCAATGCTTGTGTGACTCTCTTGAAGCCTTTTTTACCCTTCACAACTCCTGAGCCAGTGTTTTTTAATCCAAGTTACTGAACATGTTGAGCAAGGATGGAGGCAGGAGGGGATCTAGCAAAGAGAGAGGTGATGGTTCTGAGTGACTGAGTGCTACCCTGGATAATGGAGTTCTTCCTTCTCAGCACCTTGGAGATGTTAAACACATCACTGTGTCTAAATTTTTGCAGGCAGTCATTGCATTTCTTCCTCATTTTTTGAGTGCTTTTAAGTCCTTTCTTCAAACCAGAAGAGCACTTGGACTTGTAGAAGTAATGCCATTAGATTTTGTCAATACAGCCACAGCTGAGTCTTCAGCCTTCTCAGATATGGTAACCTGTTTCACCAAAAATTCAGTCTGGGGCAATCCCCAGGAATGTAAACTTTCAGCTTGCAAGGTGAAGTGTTGGAAACATTGATAAATTCCCCAAATCAGGCTCCTGGAGTGGAAAGCATTTGGCAAGCTTGTAAGAGGTGAAACCAATCCACAACACTTGAGAATAGAGCTTGTCTCTATAAATAATAAAAAGGAGCAGCTGTTATCTAAAAAACTCTGAGCATGAAACAAAAATGTCCTCCAGGATATTTGTATACACTTGCAGGAACTGGCACACAGCTGGAATGGGTGTACACAATGCCTCTCTGAGGCTAATGAGATGTTACCTCTGCTTTAACTTGAAAGTGACTGGGCTTGCAAGTGCAGTGTGGACAGCTGTAATGCTCCAGCTCTCCTCCTTCCAGGTAAAAGTGTGCAGAAGTGCAGTACCTGAGGTTTGTCATTCCATTTGCAGAAGTGATTCAGGCATTCACACCCCCACAGCACAGATTCAAAATCTGGGTGACTACAGGGTTCTACACCACTGTGGTTGGTCTGGTTCTTCTACTTCATCTCTCAGCTGAAGGTCTTAAAGTGATGTAAGTAACAATGTTAAATATGACTTTATTTATAAACCTGGGGAAAATTTGGCTCTGGTAGGTGTGTTCTGAAGGTGATATACCCAGCAATGATGAAAAAGAGACTGTCAGTTTGAGTGCTCCACTGTTGGCTCCTGCAGTTGAGGATGTTTGCCCTGAACATCCCTTTCTGTGGCTGGTAGCAACACCGAAAAAGAATAACTCCTTCCTTAAACATTTGGGAGGGAAATGATGGGAAAAGACACAGACCACGTCAGCTGTAACCAGCAAAGTCCATTTTTCTTTGAGGGCCTCCCTGGCACCAGGGCTAGAAAGCCTGGTGTTCAGTTGAAAGTCTTCTCCCACTTCGGTCAACCAGCCTGGTGGAGAGACAGGCTTTCAGAAAAAATGGTTCTGGAGACTCAGGGTAAGAGACCCCCCTGCTGCTTGCAGACTCTGCATTTTAGGGTACTGCCTTCCAGCAGCTTGTGAAGATGGTTTTGACTACATGAAAAAGTCTTGCTTTTAAATTTTAAAAATTGCCTTTTATTCACTCTCTTTCTTGTTGCCTTTCTTTTGTTCCTTTCCTTACAACATTGGGGTTTTTTTTCTTCCACATCATATTCACCACATCCTTGAAGTAGAAGGAGAGAAACTAAAAGAAAATATTTAATACCTCAAGTGTTTTTGAACCATCAGCATTATGGTGGAAGCCTGAAGAGGTCATCCCTGGAAATAATCCAGCTGGTGAACTCCTTGGGGATGTCACCTTCACAAGAGCAGTGCCATTTCCTCATGAGGTGGGTGTACTTATTTATTGTATCATTAAAGCTATTTTCCTTCAGACAGCCTTTAAATATCTTCCCTGGGGATTTGTCAGGCTGGGCAGCAAGCCAAGTAGAACACCCTAAAGTTAAGAGCTCAACTCTGCTGGACATAAACCACTTAACATTTCAAAGATGACAAAAGCGGTACATATCCAATTTGTTTCCAGTAGGAAAGAAATAACTGGTGAGTAGCACACTGAGTCCATCACAATGGACAAGCCATGCTATGGTGACTCCTCTTCTTCAGGCAAGAGCAGGGCCCTGCTCTGTGTCGTATCTACAAGCTCTGATTATGGACCTTTCACTCTGTTTGCCATGGCTCCAGAGAGGCCAAGACTGATGCTCCAAAATCCCATGCTCTATAGCTCCCATGGGCTCTTGCTGCTGCTATTTTCCATTACTGCTTCAAACCTCCCCCCTGCCCTGCTCACAGGGCTTGAATTTTGGTGTTATGTATCTTGAATGTAGCTGCCCAGAGCTCAAAGGGTGGTGCTGTTCATGGTTCACTGTCCCCAGGTGACAGCAGAGTCACACCTGGCACGGGTTCTTCCTCTTCTGCGATACTCAGACTCTTTTCATACTGGGATGCCACCTTGGGTTTTGAAATTTGCTTTCCATGGGCCTTTAGCTGGATTAAACTCAGTTGCTGCCAAATTAGCGGAGTGCAACACAGAGGGTCAGATGCAAAGCTTATTGGGGTGTAGGAGAAGATTCCCTGGATTTCAGCAGGTCATAGATCCAGCCTATAGGAGGGAGCTCAGCAAACTGTGTACTCTGGCACTCCCTGTTTTGAGGAACAACAGTGATCATCCTTGACTGAAGTCAAATACTTTAGGATCTCACAGTCCCAAGGGTAAATGATGTCTTTGTTGGGTTTAATGTCTGGTCCAGCATTTAGTGCAAGATATTTGGTTGGTTCTGAAGGGTTACCAGCTTGCCTGGAGCATTATTCCTGCAGGACCTTTCAGATAGCAGTGGAGTTTCTCTAGATTTAGGCTTGTGAGAGGCAAATCCAGATCTGATGCCCAGGACAAAAGCCCATTGCCACCCCCACCTCTGAAGCCTGAGGCTCCATTTCAGCAGGTCGTGACAATAAAAGTCCCCCCCTGTTTGACAACACCAAATTGCCTGGCTGATTTCCTCACAGGATGGGACACAGCAACGCAGAGAAGCTGGCTGAAAAAACCTGCAAGAGGAAAGAAGGGAAGCAGCTCCCACACTGGCAAACCCAGCCAGCATGCCAGACCCTCACAAGAGAGAACTGCTCAGAAAAACAGGGGAAGAGGCATGCACAGAGACAAGACCAGAAACATAATTATCTGTGTTTTTCATTAATAAAACATGGCAGTCCTCGCAGACAGAGGGTGAGGTAATAAGGATAATAATAATAATAATAATAATAATAATAATAATAATAATAATAATAATAATAATAATAACAATATGTTTGGTATCTCTTTCTTCTGGGCTCCGGGGGCTCATTTTGCAAGTGGTTATTTGTAGCGCTGGAGCTGCTGCCTCGCAGCTCACACTGCTCAGACTTATGTTCTGCTTCTCTCTCTCTGCCAGCAGCCTGGGTTTGCAAGTGCTCTTGACTCAGCAGTAATTGCATGACCTGCATGACCCTGAAGGTGAGCTGGAGCAGGAAGGATCCTTCCTAGGGGCCAGGTCCAATGCTGGCTGCCTCCAGTGGAAGTCAGCTCTCTTGCAGGATCCAGCAAGGGCTGCACCTGCCTGGGGAGAACCAAGGAAGATTTGTGCTTGAGCAGAAGCCCAGTGGCCACCAAAGTAAAACTGAGCCATCACAAAAGCACTAAAGAGAGGCCCCATCTGTGTTCAGTCAGTCCTGCTGGTGCTTCCAGACTGGAAGAGTCCAAAAGGGCTGAGCTAGCTGCAGATTAGATCTGCACCCAGAGCACTTTGTGCATGCAGAAATTCCAGTGAGCTGCCCTCAAACAGGCAAACACAGCAATGGCAAACAAGGGCAGCAGAGACCCTGTGCTGCTGCAGGCACGTGTTCCTTGGGAGGGACTCCCCACTGAGGTACGTGACTTTGTGTCTTGGTTTGAAAAGAACGTGTCTCCTAGGGAAGGCAGGAGCCTTTTGTGAAATGGAAAAATGTAAACCTCCTCCCTCTGAATTATTATGATGTTGAAACTAAAAGGCTCTCAGGCAAAGATATGGGAATACCAGTTCTTTAGTAGGAAAATTAAAATACAAATGCAATAGTACAAACAAACAACAACAACAAAAAACCATTGACAGAGTCAGAACACAGCCTGACACCCTGTTGGTCAGGGTGTTGGTAGCAATCCGATTGAATGGTGGCTGCCATCCTCATGGAGTAATAGTGGTTCTGTTGAAGCAGTGATCCTGTAGGAAATTACATTCATTTCCTCTGAATGTCCAGTGGTGGTGTGGATGGGCCTGGTCTTCCTCTGGGAATCCAGTGGGAAAAGGCTGTCTCTGGTGTTGCAGTCTTAGATTATATCCAGGTAGGAATGCTTGGCTCCTCCCTCTGGGCAGAGCATTGCACAATGGAACAATTTAATTTTATCAGTCGTGCAGTGAGACTCAGTGGAGTGGTTGTAAAAGAGATACATAAACTCAATTAACAGGGGATAACTGCCCCACCTTTAACAGATAATAACTGAATATGCACCTAGCTAAACCTGAGACACCTTGGTGAAGCAGCAGCCTGTGACAACTAGGTGTCTTTGCAGAGCAAGACTCCTCTCCCCCCTGCTTCTATCTAGTAACAGAAAAATAGAGATGGGGCAACAGCTTGAAAAGATCCTGATGTTTGTGTTAGAAAGCCCTTGGGAATGACAGGGAAAGGATCTGGGTGGGGCGCCTGCCTGACCTGGCACCACCGTCCTGCAAATGGAGATGGATTGGCAGGACCTTGGGCGAGGGATACCTGACTGCAGCCAGACCATGAACTTCTGCCATGCTGGGGCTCCAGTGCAGATCTGCAGGTCTGTGCACACCAAGGAGCCTCTGCATCAGTTTAAGGTGGGACATGAGGCAGAAATTTCTATCAGCCTTGCAACAGCTTCTTACAGCAACTTCTCACAGGTCTCTGAAGAAGACTTCAGCCTCTGTCTTGAATCAGTCAAATAAGAACAGTGAAATTCTTGCCCAACAGTTTCAGTGACAAACTGTAGTTGGTTTCCATGTAATTCGCACATTAAAAGATACCAATAATAGTAAATATGTGAGTGGTAAGACAAAAACTATGCTCTATCTGCATTCAACCCCTCCTGTGCAATGGGCTCTGGCAGGGTGTTGCAATGCCTTTTTGAATCCCTCCTCCACTCAAACAAAATCTGAGTAAGGCTTATTTTCCCAGTCATTTGCATATATTTATTACAGTTTTCTATAAATACATCCATTTGTTTACAGAGCATGGAAATGCTTTCCCAAAACTGGACTTTTAAAGTAATGTAAAACACATTAAAAATTAATCTTTGTGGGTTTTCCTGTGTCATTTCTTTTGGGAAAAAATATAACTGCAAAGCTTTTTATTTTTAAATAAATAAATCAATAACTACGAATATTCAGGCTTTTCCCACAACCCACCTTTCTTCTCAGAAAGAGTTTAAATGACTGAATGCTATGTGCTTTCCACAAAATAGAGGGATTTTAGTAAGACCATTAATAGACATTTAACTTTAACAAGTGGCACTATAAACATTTCTCTGAAATTCACCAGGGAACCGGGATTTTATCACTTTAGGAGCACTGCTTGGCTCTGTGGTATGCTATGATGCTGGATAATGATCTAATAGGCTTCGCTGACAGCAAGCTGGCACCCTGCCATAGGCATGAGAAACCACCCTCCAGCCTGAGCATGAGAAAACCTGCAAATAATGCCTCCTGATTTCCCAGCTAACAGAACAGCATGGAGTAATGTGGCTGCAGCCATCTCGTGCAAATAAGACATGAAGTAAAGTGCCTGAACCTGAACATTATTACTGCTGGTTGATTTTGTCACTCCAGTCACCCAGAAAGGTAACTGGGGAGTTGATTCTTTGTTCCACCTGCAAAATGAATGAAGATTCACCTATCATTTAATTAAAAATACACTGGTTCAATGCTGCTTTTTGGTTGTCCTTTGATTAGTAATATTTCCCATTTGAAAAAAAAAACAAACCCCTAACATCTGAAGTAATGTTATAGGTAGTGACATTTTCTTCTTCATTTTTTTAATGTAATGGTTTCTGTGAAATTCTTCATGAAGAGGGGATATTTCAATTTACTTTTATTCCAGTTTTATTTGGAGACATTTCATTCAGCTCACGAAGGTATTTTCTGTCATAGTAGATTAAAAGAGGAAGAACAATATTAACTGAATTTGTCATCATTTTACCCTTACTCTCAGGTCTGTAATGCTCTGTGAGACTTACTTATCTTCATTTCCAGGGCTTCTGATGGAAATTTACCTTTGAAAGTAGGTCATATGAGTAGTGATTTTCTTACTTGTCACTTGCAGTGTCTGATTCAAATCAAAACAACAAAGAAGAATTTTTCCTTGAAAATTGTCAAGAATACAAGCTCTCCTTAATCTGTTACAAAGGCACTCTGCTAGTTTTGCAGACTCCCAGGCTGGCCCCATAACAACAAACTCTCTTCTCTAGTCAAGAGAAACAGCAGGAACCTGGCTCCAGCCTCACCAATCCTGGTAGTAGAACCAAGCAAAACCATAGTCTGACCTGTGGATGTAGACAGCCAGCTCTACAAACACAAAAGAAGAAGACAGTTTTTGTTGAAGAATGATCATTCTGATTGCTTGCAGCACACACCTTTCATATGGTTTGGAGTTTTTTCCTAGTGGTGCTAACAATAGCATCATGTAAGTCTTCTTTATATTGAGTTTGTTTGTAAATTTAATAAACTGTAAAGGAAAAAAGAAAGCAAAGCAATAAAAATTAAGAAAATAAACAATTAGGAAAATAGGAAGAAGAGATATGAATAGAAGTATTTATCTGGGAGCTAGAAAAAGAAGAAAATAATTGACAGTCTTCATTTACTAATAAAATAAGATTTCTGATTATGAAACAAGAAACTTCTGGCTATTTTAGTACAGATGTAATTTTCATGGCTGAAAGCATCCTTTTTCCTTTTGTCTCACATTATTTGAGGCTAAAATTTAACAAATTCAGTCAAAATACTCCTGTAGTCAGTGGGCAAACACCCACCAGATGAGTTTTGCCAGTGACTGTGCCAGATGCATTAAGCTTACAGGGGACAGACTAGTCCTAATCAGTCACCCAACATCTCTGAGCTTGTCTTTTCCACCTGAGAGACTACAATAAGCATTTCAGTCTTCTCTTACATCACTTCACAGCGACTTTTCAGTCACAATTACCCCACCTGGGTAATTTTTTATTTTAATAAATAATAAGGATCAGGATAAGCAAGCATGTAAGATTTCAAGTAAATATTTCAAAGGCCAGTGCTGTGGCTGCTGCAGATTATAGCCACATTCCTAAGTCCTTTAATGACAGTTTTCATTCACAGAAGATAAGCATGAGAATATATATGACATTGCCCTGAGTGCTAAGAAAATCTCTGTATTGATTCCTCAGTAGACCTGAGATTTTTATCATTCAAGCTTAAGAAACTGATAGGAAGGCTCCTACAGCAACATGCTCCCACCCATCCACTTGGCACTTAAACAGTAATAGGTCCTCTGCTGACAAGTAGTAATCTTCCTCTCCCCATGGCATCTCTGCCAGGGCTCATCACTGGAGCACACAGGTGCTTATTTTGAATGGAAAAAAAAAAAAGAAGAATAAGAAAATGGATTTTATTAAACTGTTTTTTCTTGGGCCTCAACCAAGCACATGACATGTATACCTCAGAAGTTATGGAAAATTCTGACCGATAAGAGGAAATTTCCCTCCCCCACAATCCTTGCAGCAGCTGTACTCTGCAGCACAGAGAGTGCAGCCTGTGCTCACCGGAGCCCTGGCACAATCCCCATGGCCCCTGGAGGAGTTTTGCCCAGGAATGCAGGAACTCACCCTAGCAGTGTTAGAGCATCCCCACTGCCTCCAGAGCTTGCTTATGGAGCTGCCTTTCCTGTGCCTTTGCTCACAGTGGCGGGCAAAATGTCCTGCTGGGAAAGAGCAAGTTAAGAGTATCTCTCCTGAGGGCCATATGAGGTCTGGTGATCATTATGAAGACATCAAATGGAAGCGTTTTAGAAACATGACTGTTCCACAGCCACGGGTGAGCAACAGGAGCCCTGTGCTTCCTGGAATGATGGTCTTGTGGGTGTTGCACTGTTTCCTGACATCTCAAATGCAGTGTGCAAGTCCTGTGTGATGGGGAACATTTTCAGCTCATAGTCACAGGCAACAGCTGCAGTGTTACAGGCAACAAACCAACAGAATGACAGTGATCTTTAATGAGATTTTCTGTG